TGTCCAAATAGCATTTTGATGTTCTAAAGGGAGTTTTACTTATTCTAAATGGAATTATACATGTGTGTTTAACAGGAAGTAAAGGGTGTTCTCATGTTCTAAATTTGTTCCATAAGGCATTTTGATGTTCTAAAGGGAGTTTTACATATTCTAAATGGAATTATACATGTGTGTATAACAGGAAGTAAAGGGTGTTCTCATGTTCTAAAAGTGTTCCAAATAGCATTTTGATGTTCTAAAGGGAGTTTTACTTATTCTAAATGGAATTATACATGTGTGTATTAACAGGAAGTAAAGGGTGTTCTCATGTTCTAAAAGTGTTCCATAGGCATTTTGATGTTCTAAAGGGAGTTTTACTTATTCTAAATGGAATTTTACATGTGTGTTTAACAGGAAGTAAAGGGTGTTCTCATGTTCTAAAATTTGTTCCAAATAGAATTTGATGTTCTAAAGGGAGTTTTACTTATTCTAAATGGAATTATACATGTGTGTATAACAGGAAGTAAAGGGTGTTCTCATGTTCTAAATTTGTTCCATAAGGCATTTTGATGTTCTAAAGGGAGTTTTACTTATTCTAAATGGAATTATACATGTGTGTATAACAGGAAGTAAAGGGTGTTCTCATGTTCTAAATTTGTTTCATAAGGCATTTTGATGTTCTAAAGGGAGTATTACTTAAGGGAATGTTGACGTGCTAAAGGGTGGTGCTTAGGTTCTAAACTGTGTACACAAGCATAATAACAAACAGGACAATATCTGATACTGAAAGCAATTAGCATATGCATGGTACACATAGCATGAAATAATTCACGAAAATCCACACACTTTTGTTTGGAAATGGGTCAGCCAAAAAAAGTCTGTTACAGGTTGTATTGGAGAGTCACTAAAAACATTTCTTATTATTCCTTGTTTTGTTCCAACAATTGTATTAGTGTTTTCCTTGTTGCATTGAATACAGTATCACATACAAGAAGATGGACGTCTCAAATTCTTGATTTCACTGGGATAGGAGAGTTGGTCTCTAAATTCCCCAGCAGTTCTTCATCATCATGGTAAAAAGTTCATCATCATCGATACCAAGACTGAGTCCCTCATAGTAGTCTTCAAAGTCGATGTAAGAGATCTCACCGGATGATTTACAGTGCTCAAATGAATCTAATAAATTATTCAACACATCTACTTCTCTGGCATTGCCTATGTAGAAAAGAAAGTAACCACAGTCATTTTGAATATAGTCATATGAATGATCATAGTTTTCACATTTTTAGGGTCACAGTGGCCACCAGTCAGCCATATTTTGTTTACAGCGCTGAAATGTATCCTAATAAATTATTTAAAACCTGTGCTTCTATTGCAATAACTATTTATAGAAGAAAGTGAAAAATATAACCAGTCAGCAATTTGAAATTTATTCTCAAAATAATAAATTGTCATAGATCAAGTCACATTTTTGAGGACAAAATGGCCTACAGTCAGCCATATTTTATATCGCATAACAAATTTAAATATTAATAATACAAATCATAATCTTATAAATAATAAATTGGTAAAACAATGTTATAGAAATGTTTGCCTTCAGCACAGACAAATTTTCACTAATTTCGCTAGTCAAAAAAATTACAAATCATAGAAAAGAAAATTTCACAAGGATTCTTAAAGTTGTATTATTGAATATATTTTGTTTGTTACCTTCAATGTATAAAGTAATATAC